ACGGGGTGATGCTGCTGCAACAGCAGTATGTCTGCATGCGCAGCATCTCACAACAACAAACTCGTCCGTCCAACCGCGTGGTAGCCAGACCTCCGGCGACGGGCCACGCCACGCCACTCCACCTGAAAGGGCAAATATACCTTTTCGGATTGGGCGGCGTAGTCGTTGGCCTTCCCGGAGACGCTGCTGAAGTAGAGGCCCTCCCCGTACCGCAGGTTCATGTTCGTCCGCTGCGCCGTGCGCCCCACCGAACCCCTGAGCCTGAAGCCGTGGGTGCAGATGCTGCAGACGTTGCAGTCCGGCCGCCCGCACGGGCCTCCCTGTTCCCCACCGGTCGGGCCCAAAGGAACAGAAAAAAAAAACGTATTTCAGAACAGAAAAACGAGGGTGAAAGCACTGCTGCTGCGTGCAAGTAGTACTCTCCCTTCCAGGATACTTTCGGAACGGCCGAAGCAGCAGTGCGAGGTGAACACGGCGAAATGGTTAATTCCTGCCCCAGTCTGTCATTGCCCGACCAAATACGAGCGCAAGAACGTGGCCCGGCTTGCGAGGTGGGAATAACGCGGCCCAGGGAAACCAGAGGGGGGAGCTGGGGCCCCGCAGACAGCGGCGTGACTGCTTTCCATGACCGCGAATGCATCTAATAGTTAATCCGACTCGGCTTCAGAACAACCACAGTACATGCGACGAGGCTCTCAAAAATCTTAAAAAGCGGAACCCACAACTGATCTGCCGCCTCTACGTCCAAGGAGCGGTCGGTCATTGTCCTACCCTGAGGTCCATGAAGAACCGGCAAGCGTCGGAGCAGGAGGTGCCGTGGAAGCGGCGACGGGTGTTGTTGGTCGCCTCCTCGAAGACCTTGTGCTTTTGGCGTACGTCCCCCGGTACCTGGGGATGAAAGTGGAAACCGGCCATCATCACATCGCCCAAGAGCATGGCTTCGTATGTTGCTGGTTGTTGATGTCGTCATATTTAGCTAATTTCCACACCAAACGCGCCTTTGTATGAACAAGTAGAAGAAAAGACGGGCCATCTTCGTCTCCCGAACTATTAATACTGCTGTACCGCCACCACGACAGGTACTACCACAACCCCCTTTTTCTCTCTTTACGTCCTTCCTGTCCCCTCTCCTAAAGCCTCACGCAGGAATAGACTAACCTCAGCGGCCGTACCTAGCACCTATTTTCACACCATATCCTTTTCCTCAGAAATAACTGCTGGTAGGTACCCAAGCATACAAAGACTAAAAAGCTTCCAAGCGCGATCGCGAAACCGCGCACCTGGACCTTAAAAATCCTCTCCACGCTGAGCCCGTCGACAGGCTTCTGGAACTTAACAAGGAACTGTTCCTTGAGCGACGAGTACGCCTGGTGCGATTTGGTCAAGACGCTGAGCTTGAAGTCATCCGAGGGCCCACCCCGGAACGTTCTATCCACGTGAGCCTCCGGGTTTTGAGTCTGAACAAGGGAGTTAGTCGTAGGAACGAAGGGAAAATGGAAGTACATAGAAGAGCGAGACGTAGTGCATGGCGGGAGGAGTTCCAAGTGAGGTAAGCTCTTCGGCGGTTGAGATTTGCGTCCCAAAACGCTTGCGTGGGTATTCGGGGAGATGGCATCGCCGTCCTCTCGACTTGTGTGCCATCTTCACTGCTGTGTTTCGTCGCCCTCACTGCTCTCTCCAATCGCCCTCCACTACTTCTCGCTTCCCCTCTTGCCTTCCCCGCCCTCAATTCTACCGAAAAATACGGTGGCCCTTCCCCTGTCGACCGCAAGCCGCACTTGAAGGCCTTCAAAATGGCTCTACGAGAAGCAGAAACGGTGCGCCGACGCGACCTCCCGGCTCTCGATATGACGGCAACAGCCCCCCCACACATGTACCCCTTCAAAACCGCATTCCTGACGTCACATCGCAGCCCTCAACTCACTCACCAGGTTCCGCTCCTCGGCCTTGATTCGGTGGTAGTCGCAGCAGTACCCCATATCGTCCATCGTGCGGTCGTGGAGCATGGTGAAGTCGTTGCAACCTGGCAAGCTGCACTTCATCTGCCCGACTAGGTGCTGCGCGCCACAGGTGTACGCGCAGCGGCTGCCGCAGAAGGCGAGCTGATCGCCCGACCGATGATCCATCCACGCCGGCCTTGGTGATTTTTTCGTTGGCGGTTCGGGGGATTGCCTCTTTGGATTATCTCCATCACGTAGGGGGAGGGGTCCGACTAACACATCTAAGGAATGTCCGTGTGCAACAAAGGAAGCAGGTTTCCGCCGTTTTCCGCCATGGTATCTCTGTAAACCCTGAGCCGAGGCAGAGAATGATGGCATGCGGAAGGCTCTCATGTCCTTAGCGGTACAACCAGTGCTGCCGCTGCTGCTGCTGCTGCTGCTGCTGAGGGAGCGGTGGCTACGCGTATTTTCTACAGACACGCTTAGGTGCCACGGAGGTTCCCCGACGAAATAGATTCCGAACACCTTCAACAGCAGTAGCATTCAATTTTCTGCCGCTTACATGTCAGTCTACATCAAGTGCATACTCTTGGCACGCAGAAAGCATTCAGAAAATATATGCATACAACCCGGCATTCTCCACACGTGTCTCACCGTAACGGTCCAACTCCCCCCCCCCCC